TATATATACTGTATATGGTTAAAAGATGTGACATCCGTTTTGGTGTGTGCATCAAATTAAATTCACAAAAGTGATTTTATATACATAGAAAACATATTAAATGCAAGTAAAGTTTATATTTGTGTCAAATAACTTTTGCCATTCAGCGCAACACATATATTGATTTAAAAATGAAACAACATTCTTATTCTGACCTGTACTTATTAAAATATATAAAAGAAAAGGTAATCATTCTATATTTCATTCTATAATTTTAATTTATTAAAAACTTCTTGCTGACAAATAGGTGGTAAAATGTAGTGGTTTGAAGGATGGTGGCAAAGATAGCTAAAGATTTAAAACTACAATTAGATTTTGAGAGATGCACTGTCATTAAAAGAAAGTCTTTTAATGTCATCTAATGATTCTTGATCTAAATATGCTTGATTTTTTTGGTATATAAAGTATTGTTACAATGAATGACATTTTAGTGGGTGTCTTCTTTAAATCATGGTAAAAATAGTATGTATGTATGTAATAGTAATGTATGATTACATTTAACAGGACACATTCTAATAATGTATGGAAAAAATTCACCTTTTTGACTTTGACCCATATATTTTAAATAATTGTTACATAAAATATTTTCATTTTTTAATAATTATAACAAATATAATATATTTATAAATATATAATGTATGTCATGTTTTCATAAATATGTGTATGAACCCAATCAAGGTAAAATTACTCATGAAATCAAACAGAAAAAAAAAATGTTATGAGAGATTTTTTTCTTCTTATTGCCCTTCTTTACTGAATGCTTTATCTTTCTGCTCTTCCACCAGTTCATTTATGTCAATCAGTCATTTGCTCCATCACCAGACCAAGAAGTGGGTGTGCTTTTCGAGGTATGATTTATTTATTTATTTTTTGCCAAATGCTACTCTGCCCCATCTGGCTCAGTAAGAAAATTTTATGTAGGCTAAAATTATTTCAGATTGCTATTTTTACAGTAATGCAGCCACTGCTGACAAATGCTGATTAGCAAGTTTTCATCTTAAAATGTTTAAAGATCTGCTTATTTTCTGACTATTTAGGTAAAATCGAAGCTCCAAAAAAACAAACAAATCCTCTGCACAAGTTTCTGTTCTAACTTTACCAGTCTAATTTATAATGGGTATAATAGGTTTATGCCATAAAAATGCCATTTTAGTTTCCTTAATTTCTATGTGTTTTGCTGATTGACTTGGTAAACCTTGTTGTTCTGCTCTGTTTTACAGTGTTTTGGAAGTGATGGTAAACTAGTTCTCCATTACTGCAAGTCACAGGCCTGGGGATGATTGTGCAACTTTTTTCTCCCCCTTTCTCCCTTTCATTTATACACCTGTACACATACAGTATCAAAACATCACTCACACATCATGATCGTTTTTATAACTTATTGATTTTTCGTGTGTTATTTTTTTTTGTAAATAATAAAATGTAAATAATATTGTAAAACAATGCAATATCTCATGGGACTTTTTCAGGTAGAAATCATAAGAACACCAAATACTTTTAGCAACAAATTTTGATGCATGTTTTTCATATTTAAGCTCATGTTGAAGTGATTTAAAAGGACAAGGAAAATATGTGATTCTCAGTAGTACAGAGTGATTACTTTTCACAGGAGGGGTGAGTAATGTCCCAGGACAGAACGGGTCACATGTAAGGGGTGGTGGAGACGTACAGGGGTGTGAAGAATAGGTGGGACAGAGGGATGTTTAAAAAGGCACGTTGGAGCAATGTATAAGAAGACAGGATAGAAAGATGGAGACGGTGCTAACAGATGGACTGAAGAGGGATTATGGATGCTCTTGGTAGAGTGTGACACCAATTTCCAAGGAAAGGCAGGAAAAGGAGGAGATTTGGGCAGGATTGTACCAAAAAAGGGGAAAAGCAGAAATAATCGCAAAACGATAAGGAGGGAAACTGCATGCTGAACCAAAGAGACGAGGACCTTCTGTGTTTAACAGCTGCACAGAAGGTGGAAAAAGATACATATTAATGGATCGAAATAGGGAGTTATTATTACGATGGACATGATGTAAGAAGATTAATGTGCACAGGTAAAAATCAGCTTTTTTAATGCAGAATAATTATTGATTTTCTTGTAAAACCACTAAATTCCATTCTCAATTCTGCATATATAATAATGTAATGCATAAAAGGTATGGCTTTCAGATCATGAAGCAATTTAAAGGAAAACCATTTGGTTGTACTCTTAAATATTTGATTCAAGCATTTGTTCTGATTAGCAGACATTTTGTCTTTCATATCACTAACAAACACATTCAAATGATTTTAAATTTAGGCTCTATATTCCAATAAACTGTAAAAAGCGGGAATGTGCGGTTGTTGCCTTAAAAAGCTATTTCCAGTTGATCTAACCCTTGAAAATGAATTTTGTTGATGTAACCTACACTAATGTATTCGGGTTTATTCAGATATTAAACTATTTTTTTGACAGTTCTTTTAAAATCAAATGTTTATAAAACTCCATATTTGATGTAAAAAAATAAATATATAGGTATTCTTAAAAGAGTAAAAAAAGAAACATGCACACCTACAAAGCCCAAACAGATTAAAACAGATTATTAGAGGATTACAAGTAAAATTAGACTTAATGCAAGAGCTTAACTAATAATTTCATCACGTAACTTCAGACGTAATCCTTTGAATTCCCTCTTTTTCCTTTTCTCATTTTAAATCCCATTCAGGGCTGCACTGAAAATAAATAATAGTTTCACATTTATTCAGCATTACATAAACATGTTTTTATCTCTGGATTATACAGTTTTGCTCATAAATGTACATACCCCTTGCAGAATATGCAAGATATTAATCATTTTAACAAAATAAGGGATCATAAAAATTGCATGTAGTATTTGAGTACTGTCCTGAATAAGCAATTTAACATAAATGTTTGTCCTGAGCAGTTCAGAAAAAATTCTCCAGGTCCTGCACATTCTTTGGTTTTTCTGCATATCTGAACTCATTCCAACAGCGACTGCGATTTTTAGATGGAAAGCTTTTTGGATATATAAATGTGGTTGTAACCTTTTTGAATTGGATGATTGGGGCTGAACTTATTTTGGATTCTGGGAAACATCAAAATCTTAAGTAGATTTTAAAGGGCAGTACCAAATATGCACTGAATACTAAATATAGTGCTAAAAATAAGATCTTTAAACAAAACAAGAAAAAATTGCACATCCCCTTTATGCATTGTATTTCCTTCTAGAGCATCTGATTGTTTTCACCTTTTGTAGTAGTTGTAATGACTATGATTTTGAGATCCATCTTTTTACAATGAGGACAGTTAAAAATATATACACTTTATTTTTAACTGTCCTCATTGTAAAAAGATGGATCTCAAAATCGTACAGTCATTGTTGGAAATTCGTTATAATATGCAGAAGATGCTAGAATAACATGCAAAGAATGTGCAGGACCTGAAGGATTTTTCTGAAGAACTGCAGGCAGTTGATTACTCATTAACAACTTTCTCATAACATACAAACAGTCATTGATAATCCAGGTAACAACACACATTATTAAGATATATAAAAAATAATGATCTCTCGTTTTGTTATAATTCTTAAAATCTTGAATATTCAGCAAGGGCATGTATACTTGTGAGCGGAACTGAATATGATTGATATTAGAAGAAGCAATGGTAATAATCGTAAGGCTCCTTAGTTTAATCAGATTTAAATGAAAGGAAGTTTGGGCAATTTATTAACCTCTGATTTGCCTATAGTTTTCAAAGCTACATAACAAATCACAAATAGGGCCTATAAAGTAGGCTACTCAGATAATATCTAATAAAGCAATTTAATGGGATTAAGTGACGATTTCTGTTACAGCATAAGTGACATCAAATAAAAATATATTAAAAAAATAATCCATATAATGATATACTATTACCAGGAAGCATTAACACAAAAAGTCCAGTGCTAGGATGTACCTGTGTGGTTAATGTAATATGTCTTTTTAGAACTCTTCAAGGACATTTTGATTTTCTTTAAAGTTTCTTTGGATAATAGACATCTGTCCTGAACAAAGTGTAATGCATAAGCCTGTGACATATGTTGTTCTTTCCTCTCTTACTAAGGTTCTTCCCTGATCTGACCCTGTCCTTTAATAAATCCACATCTTCATTTGTCCTACCATCTGTCACAGGGATCTCTTACTCATTTCTGCTTTATGTAATTTTCTCAATTTCATTCTCATCCCAAAAGATTTCTTGTTCTTGGTTACTGATCCCTGTTTGCCCTTTATAAACCACCTCTGCCTTCACTTTGGGTAGCATGTTGGACCACATGTCCAGGCGTTCTCGCTCCCTGCTCTCTCTTTTCCTGACCTCCCTTGCCCTCGCGTTATCTGTGCTGGCTTTCTGTACATCTTACTGGTGTGAAGGAACGCACAAGGTGGTCAAACCTCTCTGCTTGTCACCTGTCAAGATGAAGAACTGCGGCCAGAACAACAGTGAACCTTACACTACAGGTATGATGTAGTCTTCTGGTTTGATATTACCTGTGTGTGATAAATCACATTCATGCTGATATTCCAACCAACATCACAATTTAAGTATGGCATTAAAGGGATAGTTCACACAATAATTAAAATTTGCTGAAAATGTACTCGCCTTTGTAGCCATCCAAGATGTAGATGAGTTTGGTTCTTTATTAGAACAGATTTGGAGAAATTAAGCATTGCATTACTTGCTCATCAATGGATCCTCTGAAGTGAATGGGTGCCGTCAGAATGAGAGTCCAAACAGCTGATAAAAACATCACAATTATCCACACAACTCCAGTGAAGCAAAAAGCTATGTGTTTGTAATAAACAAATGTATCTTTATGCTGCTTTTAACGTAAAACCATAATATTTCTCCAGTGGAAAAGCATCATGAGAGAAATGTACACAAGATCAAGCACTGTTTACAAGTAAAAACAGTCCAAAAGAAATACTGCAAGAGAGAGTATAGGCTACTATGTGACAACAAATTTGATTTATTGCCCCTCATAAACCCCCGTCCTCCTACCATAAATGGACACCTGTTTGGACACCTGTTTCTGTCCACCCCCCACCCCTAACCGGACATGTGTTTATCCACCCCAGCGATCCAAAGGAATGTATGATTGTTTGGGAATGGGTTTTTGTGTGGGGTTCGTTGAAACTGTTCAAAACTATGTGCTTTAAACTTTAAATTGTGAAACGTGGTATGATTATTAAACGGGATAAGGGAAGTTTTTATTAAAGTTTTTTTCACACACATTTCAAGAAAAACATTAAACATACGCAGTATATAAACAATGTAATGACTGTTTTTTTTTCCAGAAAATAGTAAAAACGGAACAAGACGAGCATTTAAGTGTTGTTAAAACAATTTAAAAACTAGTTAGAGTTTGACAAAGTTAAATAAAAAGAAAAATGCAACCATCTATCTAAAACAAAAAGTATCCTTCCAGATACGTTCATTAAACAATACGGCAGTTTTTCTATGTTACAATTTTTAAAGTTAGAGTTTGTTACCATTTAGAAAATAAAAGAAAAAATGTTGACTTTTCTTACCGTGATCTAAAACAAAAATATCAGACCGTTAAGCAATAAGATACATGTCAAAATCTATGTTGTAGTCTATCATTACAATTTAGAAAAGCTAGCGTTTTGTCACAACGGTAGAAAAGTTAAACAAAAGAAAAAGAACCGTGTACCTTACGGTGATCTAAAAGAAAGTTCATCAAAGGTCGTTAAAACACCAGCGTAAGATACTTGTCAAAATCTATGTTGTACTCTACCATTAGCTACAATTTTAAAAAGCTAGACCTTGTTATTGACAGAAAGTTAAACAAAAGAAAAAATACCTGACCATCTTACACTGATACATCCTCACACGCTGCTGTCAAAACTCAGAATGTTTACGTCCGGTCCCACTCAAACCACACCTACAACCCGCCCCTAACACATCCCTAACACCGGTGACCGTAAAGATAGCTTTAAATGTATGTTAAAAGAATTAAACAAAGTAATGTTTTTAATAAATCGACATCATTTCTTAATTGATGAAAACGTTCTACCTGTTTTTAACATTAGACCAGCATTTTTTACTTTAAAAATTAGGATGGCATATACAAGTTTTACCTTATAAACAAATGCCGCCTAAGCCGCAGGAAACATTTTGTTTGTTTTTTATTTTAGTTTAGTTTAGTTATTCACACTTAATTGAGTAATTCCTTTGTTTACTCTTTGGTTTTTGTCAAGCTTAATTCTTCTGGCGTGCTAACCCAGACTTTTTATTTTTGTTCACTTTAAATGAGGTTACACAAGTTTTCTTCTAAACAATCACCTCTAAGCCAGAGGAAAATGTTGTTTGATTTGTTTTATTTAATTTTAGTTTAGTTATTCACACTTAATTTAGTAGCCTAATTCCTTTAATCGGTCTTTTATTTTTGTCAAGCTTAACTTGCGGTATGGTATAACAGTTAAAACACACACGAATGCTTGCACAAATATCTAACTGGAATGAAAGCTAATGTTTTGGGGAGTCTCTTTGATTTTCCGTCTGTAACACTTGTGGTGCGTTATCTATCAATTAAAACAGACATAGGTAATTAAACGCCTAAAGTTTTTACAACATCGCACGAAATGCAAATATTTCGTCTCGCGCAGCGCAATGAAACTAGAATGGTGAAGGGTGTTTTTTTTTTGTTTGTTTGTTTGATTTTTGTTTTCCAACAAAACCGGTTGTTTGACATTTAAAAAGTCAAAAGAAAATGTGTCACGTTTTGATGAGAAAGTCAGATATGGTATATAAATGAAGTATTTTTTATTGATTAATATTATAGAATCGTGCTGAATTTACAAGGTTATGTATTTATACAATAATGTTTTATGTAATCCCTGGTTACATATTCAAGAGAAATGCATAACCTCAGTTGTTTAATCAATCTAAAGTTTTTAGTCTGTCATTATAATATCTTAAAAGTAAAGCCTTCCATACATTCTATTTTCATTTGTTTCAGGACTCTGTTACACAAAATCCAACTGAGTATGACCTTGAATCCTATATGAAAGCTAAAAAAAAAAAATAATAATAATAAAAAGATTCCTTTTTAACTATTTTTAAAAGTAATATTGAACTTTACACATACTTTACACGTACTTAACATCTTAACACATGTGTATCAGTAAGATATTAATGTCATCACAAACCATCAGACACCTCAGCTTGGGGTGATAAGATGGACTTATCGAATATTTGTTTGTTTCTTATATCAATAAATTGATAAAATCTTAGTAAAATAAACCTATAAAGAAAACATTATAGTGATATAGTGGGAAATAAATATGTTGCATTTAAACAGCATGGTTAATAACACCCTTTTTAAGTAAAGCGAGAAATAAAGTCTAATCTGTTGTAAAGGTTCTGTGAGACATTTGTAGCACATTGTATAAGAAACACTTTTTGTTGCAAACAACTTTATGACAACTAATTTTCAGTCTAATATAGCTAATTCATTAAGAAAAATCTATGTAAGCGTCTTGCATTCATCAGAGGATTATTTGACTGCTTCTAATACTTGCTTTAGCGCATCATGTTTTTAGGTTTGAAAGATCTAAAAATCTACAAAACTTAGCTTATTTGTTAAAACAAAAGTTATATCATTGTTTAATCATGCTGCTTTTCATCATCTTTTAGAGATACCCTGTGATTCTAAAAGTTTTTATTTGTAAAAATGTTGTATGAGGCATCGTACAAGGCTAAATGTTTAACTGTAGGGATGTTTGTGTGCATGTTTGTGTTGAGTGTATGTGTTTATGTTTGTCTGCGTGTTTGAGTTTATATATGTTTGTGTTGAGTGTTTGTGTTTTGCGTGTATGTTTGTTTAAAACATACATCTCCCTATTTATTTCACTTTATTGTTATTGTCCTTTCTCTGTCTATCTAAGAGTATCCTGAACCTCTGTGAAATCACATCCACCAGATCTACATTATTAACATTCCTGTTTTTCTTCTTAACCTAACCAGATGTTTGTGGTTAAAAAGGTTCAATAGGGTTCACATCCTTTGACCAGCCACTGAACTTTTGACTAAACTTTTGACAAAGTTCACACTCACAGGTGCATGTCATAAAATAGATACAATGGAGATCCTTTGATCACTGAACTGATTACTTGACACAACAACAAAGTTCACAATGCCAGATCCTCAAAAACTTGTTAGATTGCAAATGAATTGCAAACCCCAGAAACGGGCTTAGATGTTTTACAACCTTTTGAAATACATTACACTAATATGGTCGCATCAGTAATCACACAAACCCAGACACCCTTCACCATTCTAGTTTCATTGCGCTGCGCGAGACGAAATATTTGCATTTCGTGCGATGTTGTAAAAACTTTAGGCGTTTAATTACCTATGTCTGTTTTAATTGATAGATAACGCACCACAAGTGTTACAGACGGAAAATCAAAGAGACTCCCCAAAACATTAGCTTTCATTCCAGTTAGATATTTGTGCAAGCATTCGTGTGTGTTTTAACTGCCATACCGCAAGTTAAGCTTGACAAAAAATAAAAGACCGATTAAAGGAATTAGGCTACTAAATTAAGTGTGAATAACTAAATTAAAATAAAATAAAACAAACCAAACAACATTTTTCCTCTGGCTTAGAGGTGATTGTTTAGAAGAAAACTTGTGTAACCTCATTTAAAGTGAACAAAAAATAAACATTCTGAGTTTTGACAGCAGCGTGTGACGATGTACTCGGGGTCTTTTTTCTTTTGTTTAACTTGCGACAAACTCAAACTAGTTTTTAAATTGTATCTAATGGTAGCATACAACATAGATTTTGACAAGTATCTTACGCTGGTGTTTTAACGACCTTTGATGAACTTTCTTTTAGATCACCGTAAGGTACACGGTTCTTTTTCTTTTGTTTAACTTTTCTACCGTTGTGACAAAACGCTAGTTTTTCTAAATTGTAATGATAGACTACAACATAGATTTTGACATGTATCTTATTGCTTAAAGGTCTGATATTTTTGTTTTAGATCACGGTAAGATAAGTCAACATTTTTTCTTTTATTTCCTAACTGGTAACAAACTCTAACTTTAAAAACTGTAACATAGAAAAACTGCCGTATTGTTTAATGAACGTATCTGGAAGGATACTTTTTGTTTTAGATAGATGGTTGCATTTTTCTTTTTATTTAACTTTGTCAAACTCTAACTAGTTTTTAAATTGTTTTAACAACACTTAAATGCTCGTCTTGTTCCGTTTTGACTATTTTCTGGAAAAAAAAACAGTCATTACATTGTTTATATACCGCGTATGTTTGATGTTTTTCTTGAAATGTGTGTGAGAAAAAAAACTTTAATAAAAACTTTCCTTATCCCGTTTAATAATCATACCACGTTTCACAATTTAAAGTTTAAAGCACATAGTTTTGAACAGTTTCAACGAACCCCACACAAAAACCCATTCCCAAACAATCATACATTCCTTTGGATCGCTGGGGTGGATAAACACATGTCCGGTTAGGGGTGGGGGGTGGACAGAAACAGGTGTCCAAACAGGTGTCTATTTATGGTAGGAGGAGGGGAGTTTATGAGGGGCAATAAATCAAATTTGTTGTCACATAGTAGCCTATACTCTCTCTACTGCATGTTGGAGGAAATGTTATTATAGATTATACACTTGAGTTTTTTGCTAGAGACAACAGTTTAAAGTTAAAACATCTTAAAAATGGATTTGCTTCTTACATGTATATTTTTACGTCATATTACATTAATTGATGGACTGGGGTTGTGTGGATTACTTGTGGATTATTGTGATGTTTTTATCAGCTGTTTGGACTCTCATTCCGATGGCACCCATTCACTGCAGAGGAGCCATTGGTGAGCAAGTGATGTAAGGCTAAATTTATCCAAATCTGTTCTAATGAAGAAACAATCTCATCTACATCTTGGATGTCCTGCAGGGTGAGTACATTTTTAGCAAATTTTCATTTTTGACTGAGTAGCTTATATTTTATGATGTTTTCTAAAGGAAAGCACAGTTAACCTTTGCACATCTCTAAACAGCAATGGTGTTGTTTCTTTTTTTTAAATAATTAATCCATATTTTGACCATATTGCTTGAGTGAATGGCTCATTCATAAAGATGGTTGCCACCTACTGGCGTAATAATGGAGCCTGCGAAAAGATTCAAAGAAAAATCCCCACTACTAATGCTACTAATGATACAAACACTGACTGTACCATCCACTCATTCAGGTTACTGTCAGGCTAATTGGTTGTCCTCTTTTCTCTTCAGAAAGCCCCACCCCAGATCCACAGAACCCGCTACCAACATTATCACCAAAGCGAAGGGAGGAACTAGCCAAGATTCGACAAAGACAATTGGCCAATGCAGTGCACTACATTTGGGAGACGGGAGAAGACAACTATACCTTCAGATATTTCCACACAGGATTTTGGGAGTCCTGTGAAAAACATGCAGATGGTAAGAAAACCTCTCATCAAAAGACATCAAAGTGATAGTTCACCCAAAAATGAAAAGTCTGTCACCCTGAGGTATCTACTCACCTCATTTAGCTTCCAACCTATCATGTTCTTTTTATCCATGGACCACAAAAGGAGATGTTAGGCTGGATTTTCATGCTGTTCTTTCCCATATAATGAAACTGAAAGTTGTCCACTTTCCTGCAGAGTTTGATTAGTTTTTTCCCTTCACAAATTTATCAAATGTATAGTCTTCAGAGGACTTGGTATATAGTGCACAAATTGTATGTATCACATTTATGGTGCTTTTGTCATTTTAATTGACAGTCCTTACTCACCGTTCACTGTTATTTCATGGAAACGAGCTGCATGAACATTCTGTCAATTTCTCCTTTTGTATTTCATGGAAGAAAGAAAGTCTTAAGAGTTTGAACCATGATGGTAAATGACACAAATTTAATACCTGAGAAAATTGTTCCTGTCATTATCATTAAATTACAGTTTTTACAATAATTTCGGCTCTAATTTTAGAAACTTAATGTCATTTTTCAAAAAACATCATTACTTGTAACACAGACTGTCCAGTGTTCAAAACAAAGCATTGTACAGTAAATTCATATCTTTAAAGAAACCTTGCACTTGCAGAACGATTGGCTCAAATAACTTACAATGAAATACCATAGGAACATTAATTTAGATCACTGTCTATGGGGACCATAGAAACAGAGTCTAAAACAGAATGCTGATGAAGTATTACATCCATAGACAATGTACAGTAGTCCAATTGGTGACAATGACAGTGATTGGTGCCACTAGATCTGAAATGTTCCTGATCATCACATGGAATATTGTTTGCCAGTTTCCATAAAGCTATGCATTAAAGAGATTTTTCACACAAAAATGAAAATTCTGTCATCATTTATTCACCCTCCTCTTGTTCCAAACCTGTATGATTTTCTTTCTTCTGTTGAACACAAAAGAACATATCTTGAAGAATATTGGTAACCAAACAGTTAATGCTAGTCATTGATATTCCTTATTTTTTTCTATACTATGGAAGTCAATGGCTACTGTCAGCCATCAAAATATCTTCTTTTGTGCTGAAGAACAGAAGAAAGAAACTCATACAGGTTAAGATCAAGTGGAGGATGAGTTAATAATGTCAGAATTGTACTTTTTGAGTAAACTATCCCTTTAAGAGCAATGCAAATTTTTGTGCAGTTGTTTAAATCGACATTTAGATCATTGTAATCAAATGAATAGACAGTCATCTCAGATGCTGTGTGTGAATTGCTTATTGAAATATTTTACTTATTGAAATAATACTTTGATGTTATTTTGTGTCATTTTGAATAGGTGAATTTAATAAAATGAACAAATGAATTTAGGCTTATGTGTATTGTTTACTCAATTGGAGAAGGTATTAAGAGTTTTGAAAATATACATTTTGATTACTGTCTGTGAGTTTTGTGTCTAGAATTTTGAAAAATGACATCAAAGTTCTGATATTAGTGCCAAAGTAATTGTAAAAGTAAAGAGGCAATTAAAAAAAAAAATCATCAAAATTGCACATCTATTTAAAATGCATTATATATCATTGATTTATCAGATAATCATATTGTTGAGTGTGTCAGACATTGTATTTCATTGGTATTCTTGTTCATTCTGCTACATTAAAGGAGAACGATGTCGCCGGTTCTTGGATCTTACTCCTGGAGAGACTCATGGTAAGATTGCAGTGTGTGTGTGTGTGTGTGTATGAAATTATCTCTGCAGAATGATATAACCAATGATGTGTGTAGGTGTAACTGTGCCTGCAAGGCTTTCTGTATTTGTACAGTATGTGCTCATATAAGTTCATGTGCTCCTCACTGCCTGCTGCAGGTGTTCTGTGGTTGTCAATGATTGCTGAGTTCATGTACATCAGTTTGTTGGGCATGGGCTTTCTACTAATGTGGGTGGAAGTGTTGTGTGCTCATAAAGAAATGCATGCACTCAAAATCAACGCTTTCGCAGCCATGTGTACAGTGCTCTCAGGTAAGATAGTGGTCATTAGTTCCCTCGTGTGGTCAAGTTTAGTATTGCATTATTGTTAATGTATATTATTTTGATTTCCCCCTACTTTTTTCTTTCAGGACTGTTAGGGATGGTGGCTCATATGATGTACACCACCGTATTTCAGCTAACTGTGATTGTGGGGCCCAAAGACTGGAGACCTCAGACATGGGACTATGGCTGGTCATTTGCGTGAGTACACTTACAAAATATTTTCACCCAGTTTATGTATAGTAAAGTTTGGCTTGTTTGTGATTTGATTAAAGTGGTAGTTTCTTTATATGAACTTTATAGATGTTTACGAATTTTCCTCTTTCTTTTGCATGGTCCTTTCACTCACTTCTCGACTCCAAGGCTTGCATGGGTGTCTTTCAGCTGCTGCATGGGTGCTGCAGTTATGACCCTTAATTCTTACACAAAAACAGTCATTGAGCTACGTCACCGCCAGAGGCTTCGATTAGAGGAGGCCCGTGCTACAAGCCACGCTCCGTCCTACAATGAGGTGGTACCAGGTGGAGGGTTGTACTCTGTCAGCGGCCTATTTCAGTTCCCAAATGGGATGATAGACTCTATGTGGGCATCCAATGGGAGCATGGGACTGGTGCAAGAGAGGGATGTGCCCACCCTGGTACTCGTTGGAGGATGCGGACAAGATTCGTGTGAAGACTGTGAGAGAGAGATGGATGAGATGAAGGAGGCCATGAATGGAATAGATTCTCCTTGTTAATCGTGGATGATGTGAGTTGAGGGGCTAGTTCACTCAAAAATGAAAAATTATGTTATTATTTAGTCCCCATCATGTCATTTCAAACCTATATGGCCTTCTTTTGTCTGTGGAACACAGAAGAAAATAACTTGAAGAATGGTAGTAATCAAACAGATTTGTTTACCATTGATGCCCAGTGGATGGAGATTTTTCTTTTTAAATGGGTCATGAACTGCCTTTTTATTATTTTGTACTGTTCTCTGAGGTCCCCTTATAATGTTATCAAGATTTTCACATTAAAAAACATAATTTAGAAGTGATAGGCTATTTTCTGTCCTGTTTTAACCCCCCTCATCAGAACGCTCTGTTTGAATAGGCGTGGCAGATTGTAGACTCTGAAGTAAACACCCACTGCTATGATTGGCTAACACTTGTGTATGTTTGACAGCCCTTCACAGATGTAAGCTGCTGTGATTTAGGTTTAAAATGCATAAATACTCATATCACACAATCTGTTCAACAGACAAATCAATAGTGACCACATAATAAAAACAGTTACTCACACTTGTGTGTTGCAACATTACTGTCGGATCCAGTATAGCCGGCACAGCATCGTCTTTTAGTCTCAATCTTTCCGAAAATCCTGTGTCGAATTGTGCCTTGTTTGTAAACGAATCCGCGGTAAAATGAAGTGAACAAAAGACCAAGTTCTTACTGACACGGACACGGTCTAGAACTTCATTAAAAAGTAAGTTAATCCACTCTTTCCTAACATTGCAATCAGAAGAAAGGAAATGCAGATACTGTTTTTTTCCCCCATAACTTGCACTGCATCTTGTTGTCTTCAGAGCCATCTTTATCATTTGGTTTCTGTGTAGTGTAGTAAATACTACATGCACGAATCGATGGGCGGGGCTAAACAGGCGTTGATCTTCTTCTGCGGAGGTGGAGTTTAGCCACACTATCATTACATCATAGAGTGGCACATTCCACAAGCTGTCAATTTTGGCAGACTGGCTTCAATATAAGCTGTTTTTAGACTAACTAGAAAGCTTTGAGTTCTGAAACTTGGATTTTTTTTTTATAGTACAATGACTGTAATTCTCTGTAATATCTCATATTTTCTTCTGTATTGTATTGTTTTTTTTATTTGGTTTAGAATTGACACCCAAACCATAACGAATAATAAAAAATAAATAAATTAATAACAATTAATAAATAAAACAATGATGTAAATGGTAATGTAAAGCATTGCTTGAAATATCTACTAAATGTGGAATTGTTGCAACCATCAAATGGTGTGATTATTTGAGTTTTTTTTATTTTTCTCACTTCTGAGAGCAGTACTGTATGATAATGTAAGAATTATGCAAGTTTTTTTAACATACATCATATAGGTCTTTAACCACTGTATACGTATTCCTAGTGTCCCTTGTATTTTCATCAGTTGTCTTACATTTAAGTTAATTATGACAAATATTCAATATGGCAAAACAAAGAAAAAGATATATTAAAGAAATCCAAAATGAGAAATTCAGAGAGGAAGGCTGCACTAGGAAGTTGGAGATTTTGAAGTCTTCTTTGCAATGTTGGACAGGCAATTATGTCAGTAGGCTAATCCTAATTTGGACTAAAACAGTGAGGGAATTGACGGTTCGTAAACAGTGTTATAAAGATCTTTTAGAGATCGTAACACACTCTCTCCAACAAAATATTGCAAACCTGCTCATATACAGACTCACATTTACCTGTGTGCCAAAGTATATATCTGGCCCAACTTTGCCATGCATTGACGACACACAAAGATAATCCAGGATTACGGGAAAATATTGCCACGGCATGGTAAACCTCTCGTCTGCTGGCAGACCGTTAGAGATTATTGTGCTGCCCATTCCAGCGGTTCACTTGAACTCTTCACCTCACCTAATCATTTACACACAAATTCACACATACAGACACAGAACAGAGAAAAACTTAGTAGCTCTTACAGTTTCAGTTTTATTTCACAGCAGTTGACATCAACAAACAGATTTGCATAATATAAATGGCAAAGGTTATTGTATTATCATGCTGGACGATAAGTCTGGATGAAATTATGTTATGTTGTTTTTCCACACAGTCTAGGGGCTTTATTGGCTTTATTTATATATCTGTATTTTACTTCATTTACAAGAAAAACATGACATAATATTTGCTTTCAGTATCATTTCATCTGCCAGAAACTCTTCTTCAGTCTACATACAGAATTTCACACATTTCACAACATTTGTTCCCAGATGTGACACTTTACTATCACTTTAATCTATCATCATTCTGTCTATCACGACTCACTCAAAACATATTGAGGTTAATGGGCTTTCAAATATTTACAAAATGACTCACGTTGCACTAATACAAGAAACAGGACAGACGTGCCCGGATTAAAGGGGTAAAAATTAAAAACAAACAACATGGGAAAAAAGAAATCTGGGGGGAAATACTTGGCCAAAGGAAATGATATGACAGGAAAAATACAGTTATTGTTCTTGTTTTATTATTATTTTTTGGGCTCATATTGAATAAGGTGGATCGCGTCTTCATTGTCAAGAACGCCTTGAATAAACTCACCCTCGGCCAATCGCTCTGAAAAGAAAAAGAAAAATAAAACAGAAAAGGTGACAACACTCACTGTTACTGGACAAACTCACATATTCAGTCTTTTAACAGCAGCCTTTTGACATTACTTTACTATGGCACCATCTTTGCTTTGCAATAAAGGCAGGAGATGCAAACAAATATTCAAAAAGCCCACTTGAATCTCTTATCATGTGTCCATGAATGACAGATATTAGAAAATATATGAAATATATGAACAGTAAAGGGTTATATAAAAACTATATGTGAAACATATGAACATATATTAACATAAAAACACAATATTACCATTGTCTTTTTTATTGAAGAACGACCACAGTTTGTCTGCTCTCTTCTCGGGAGTGTTCTCGTCTGCTGGAAGATTTTCCTGCTCTTCTTTGGGGATCAACTTAAAGATAGCCTGAGGATCAGCAAGATGGAAGAAAAGTGGAGGTGAGGAGGGAAGAAAGAAATAACAGACTAATTCTATGTGCAATAATTTCTAAAACCTCTCTCTCTATCATTTACATTCTGGGCTTGAAACTCTGGCCATTATGAAGCATATCATAATGACAACTTTAATTAAATTTATTATGTTATAATATAATAAATATATACTACTTAAACGTAATATATCATGTAGTCATATATTATAATATAGTTATATAATATTAAATGCTGTAAATAATTTTCTTGCTATTTGCCATTTAATCTGTTATGTGTTTGTGTGTGTACCTGGTATGCCCTGCATTATGGGGACCAAATGTCCCCACAAGAATAGTAATACCAGTCATTTTTGACCTTGTGCGGACATTTTTGGTCCTCATGAGAAAAACAGCTTATAAATCAGTGATCTTTTTGAAAATCTAAAATAGCAGAATCTTTTTGTGTGAGGGGTAGAGTTAGAGTAAGGGAATATAAAACAGTTTGTATAATATAAAAACCATTATGTCTATGGAATGTCCCCATAAAACATGAAAACCAGTGTGTGTGTGTGTGTGTGTGATTATTTTATACTAATAATATAGTCTAGCCACCATTTCCAATTCTTACAGCATTTTTCCCCAAACACACCAAAACCAAACACCTCATCTCAATACAGGTAACCTAATTACTGTATTTACCCAAACATTATTCCTTTTCAGACAAAATGTAGTTGACCGTGAAAATCCCTGTGACAGGCACATCCATTAGTTAATTGGAGTGTCAAGTGAATGACCATCTGCTCTTCTGGTGATGCTTGTCTGGAGCTAATCATCATAGATTAGGACCACTAATGCCAAGGGTCATCTATATAGACTTTAGTTTTTCCTGACCACTGCTGACCTGGATCTGAGTGGTCCAGTGAGCCGAGGAGATGTTCATCTCAGACACATATAAGACACGTAAGAATAATACAGATTAGAGACAGTGCCAAAGCTCCTGCCAAAACCACACACTGCATTACCTCAGCACAGCTCAGTCTTTAATGCTCTTTTGCATTCAGTCACTGGCACGATGACAGTGACATTTATACTTATAAACCACCAAACTAGTGATCACAAAGCCTGAGTATAAGGTCAAATGTTGATCTGACCTCATGGTGTGCAGCTGTGTTAGGATAACATTTGATACATCCATAAATGTCTAACAATAGTAAACAATGCACTGAAAATATAACTATATTCCCTGATTCTATACTGTATCTTAAGTTTTGCTCCTGATGTATGACTTTTTTCCTGCTTAATAAAAAACATAAAAGAAACTTTTTTCTTGTGTTTGTCTTGCTGAATATTTACTGTGTAATTTAAGCCTCATGTTCCCACTGTTTACTGTGACTTCTGCAACCCACTTATCCAGCATCTTTCTAAAAAAAAGCATCTTACATTGTAATCCCCCCACCCACCTGCCTCTGTGCTAATGGCTGTCTGCGTTTGAAAAAGCCTCTGTGTACGTTTATTGTTCAAGCTAAACCATTTATCGGATGAATTATTCTGGGATTCGACCGACTGCATTAGCCATGCTCCAAGGCAACGGCTTGTTAAGTCAAAGCTCATAAGACATTTGGCTTCTTTCTTTTTACTGAGGCCTTGTGTTCTGTGTTTGTTTAATATTGCTGACTGAACACAGAGAATAGAGAGAAAATTGATTTATATATTCTGTGATTATATATGTGATGCATCATCAAGAGAAAGATTAGAATGCATTAGCTCGAGTACTATATAGGAGACTGGGGCAAGTTGTCACTAGGGCTATATTTCAGTAACTGTAAGGATTTGAGTCAAATGTCAAGTTACACAAATATGTTTTTCAAGTTGGTATCAAACATCTTCAAAACTCTTTTCCTTTACAAAAAAGTATTCTTTAAGTTCATTTTATTAAGTATACTTAAGTGAAGTTCAATTATAATTTATGTGTAGTAAGTATACTAATATGGATGTACT